CAATTTAAAGGAATACAGATTTCAAAGCAAGTCCACTGGAGATCTTCACTGTCTATCTAACTGTCTCTAGTTTCTTACAAATAGTTGTCCCCATCTTCACCCACTTTATATACATATTGCATATTATAGAACTAATCAAATATTACAGGATGATGAAGGCTTTTTAGGTCTTCAAGTTCTAACATTGGGGAAGACAATAATAACTACTATCGCATCTCTCATTCTCTTTGTGGTAGCTGTCCCCATCTTTACATATGCTGAAATTGAGTTTAAGAGACTAGACTAATATCAGTCTGATCAGTGAAAAATAGTATTGCTAGAATTTATATCATAATGCTACAAAATTAGCATTGGGTTTCTTAGTGTCTCTTCTTTAGAGTATCTGTTTATTACATCTTGCATTATATAATCTGTTCCCATAATAATTTTTTTAAAAAATCTCATGTGTGAATTCTACATATATATCTATCCTCTCTATAGGGAAAAACAAATCATAACAAGACAGCAAAACAAATTCCTAGAAAAACATGCAATGGATAAGACATATAAGACCACAATATAGGTGATCTTCCGTAGTTACTATGTTTTCTCTTATTTTCAATAGATTTGTCCACATCATCGGCTTAATATAGTTAAACATAGTATTACCTATTTTTATAAAAACAACTTTGAAAGCATTGTAGGATTTGAGAGCTGTTACTAATTAATACTAATATGGATATCCTTTACATCTTGTCATCTTTAGAGTAGCTGCCTCTACTTTTAGGGTTGATACTAACAAGCATACCAAATTCAAGTAAAATCAGCCAAGGCAAATCCATGGTCTTATGAATCGGATTCAATTAAGATTAGTCATAGTAAGACAATGTAAGTAATACAGGATTTCAGTTTAAGTTAATAGGAAAGTAAGGATAGTTACCATGATATAACCTGCTATTTTTAGGTCAGATGTCTGTGCCCTGAAATCTGACATGAGTGGACAGACCAGAACAAATTAAATTCAAACTAAATATGGCGATCAGACTACTGTCTTTTAAATCCTGATACACTATTAACAATGACCTCTACCTTTTTTTATAGTGTTTCAGAGCTGTCTGTACTAAAGACTATAGCTTACCGTCCCTGCCTCATGTCTGCTACTCCACTTTTCTGCTATAATTTGTCCACCTTATTCCCTCATTCCACTGTCTGCCCCATTCATTGAGGCCTCTCTGCCACTGTTGCTGGAATCCTGGTATCCCTTCCTCTCTTTCTCTGGAATGTCCTTCAGCACTCTCTGTAGGGTTGGATTGGTGGCCACAAACTCCCACAGTTCCTCCTTGTCTTGGAAGCATCTTATTTCTACATTAATTTTGAGAGAGAGTTTTGACGGGTATATGAGTCTTTGTTGCATATTTTCTTTCAGGACTTGGAATATTTCTCCCCATTCCCTTCTTGACTTCAGAGTTTGTGTTGATACGTCTGTTGTTATTTTGATAATTTCCCCGTTGTAGGTAATCTGCTTCTTTTCTCTGCCTGCTTTTAATATTCTGTTCTTTTGGTGGATTTCTGGAATCTTGATTATTATATGTCTAGGCGTAGATCTGTTTTGGTTGTAGGTAGCTGGTGTTCTGTATGCCTCTTTTATCTGGATATCATTTCTTTTTGCTATATATGGGAAATTTTGCTTTACTATATCTGTGAATATTCTTTGTATTTCATTTTTGGTTGCTCCTGCTTCCTCTTCTAGCCTTTGAATTGTTTCTTTCTGGTTCCTTGTTATTTTTAAGAGGTTTTTTCTTTCACGATCATATGTCATAAATCTCTCTTCAAGTTTCAGAAGGCTGGCTTTAGTTTCTGTCAGGGCATTTTGTCAGTGTTCAATGGAGTTTTTCGTTTCCTGGTAATCCTTTGGATCGGTTTCATGTATTCTAAGTTATGTTTAAATTCTTCTTCAGAAGTTTCTCTTTCTTTTCTGATTTCCTCAGTTCTTCCATCTATGTTCTCTTGGGTTGGGCTTGTCATTTCTTTAATTAATCTCTTTATATATTGCCTCACTTGGATCAGGAGTACAGCTTTAAATTCATCTATGAGGTCATGGAGGTATTTTTTAATTTCAGCTGATGCTGTGTCCAGTATTGGATGGTTACTCTGCTTGTTCTCTTCAGTGTTTACTTCTCCTGGGCTTATTTTCTCATGTTGGGCAGCTGGAGATTTTTTTTTATTTTTATCTCTTGTCATGTTTCTGGTTTCTTTCAGACTGGAATGTCCTGGGGGCCTCTGGCCCTCTCCGTATTGCTTAGGGCCTTTCAGAAGCATGCTGACTTGAGTTTTTGCTGTCTTCCCCAATTTGCTGTTATCTGGGGTAGGCTGGGATGCAGGGGTGGTACAGGCTAGCCTCTAGCCTCTGTGCCAGTCAATCATAAATTAGGCTGTACTTTCTGGATGTCACAGAGTTGCAACTATTTTGTATCTGCTTATTGGGCCCCAAGCAGAGGCTTGGTTCAGCCCCAAAAGATCCTGCCAGTTCTCTCTGTGCCAGAAGCAGCTGAATAATGTCACTGTGGCACAGGGTTCTGCCCCAATCCCAGCTGTTGTCTTTCAGACCTCCGTGTGCCAGGAGCACCAGGACAGCGGGTCTGCCCAATTCCAAGATGTCTTCCACTAGTTCTATGACGCTGAAGCCAACATGGTACCAGGCTCTGCCCAATTTCAAGATGTTCTCCACCAGACCTCTCTATGCCAGGGTTGATTCGGTGATGTCACTGAGCCGCAGGTTCTGCCAAACTCTAAGATGTCTTCCGCCAGACTCTCTGTGTTATTGATGTCGCCATGGTGACGGGCTCTGCCCAATTCCAAGATGTTCTCTGGCCAACCGCATCAGCCGCGGGACCCAGTCCCTAGTACTCACCAGGGCTTGGTGCAGGTCTTCCTCTTGAGTCTACTGCACACTATGCCGATTGCCTTCACTGTGTTCCTGGCACAGCGTGGAATGGTCAGAAAACTGCACAGCGTTCGGCTTTGGAGCTCCAGAGCCTTTCTCAATCTCCTCTGGTGCAGCGGGGCAGTCCTGGCTGCTTCGCAGGGTCTCAATTTCCAGCAGTCACCAAAAGCCAACACAGCTTTTCCTGTTGGGTCCACTGGTCAGTTTGCCGCATTAAAGGCATAGGATTTGCAGCCTCCTGTTATCAGCCTTCGCAGTCTCAGCACGACTTTAAATCCTCCAGCTGCGCTGTCTTGGTTAATAAGAATCGTTAACCATTTGTCTGGCCCTCTCCATGTTGTCATATTCTAGCATCTAATATGATTTCTCTGGAGAGACTCTCCATCCAATCCCCTAGCAAGCTGCCATTTTTGAAAACTCCCGTGTTCAGGTTTCTAAGAGAGTTACTTTTACAGGGATATGCCCTTCCTGAAATAATGCCAAGTAGACCAAACTGAATAGCAGCAAAGTATCAAATCAACACTAGTGTGAATGTGATCAAATGTCAACTAGAGAAATTCTTTTTAAACCTAAACTGAAGATACATGGTGAACTCTTACTGGTAGTGTCTGGCTAACAAAGAAAGGGAAGGGAGGATGGAGAAGGAATCAGATGCAGAAAAATCAGGGAAAGCACAAAGCCATACTTCAAACTGTTTCCATGTTTCAGAGAGCCATGAAAAGGAAATATTTGTATATCCAACTATCTCTCCACAATCCATCCCACTTTAATTTACATGGCCACTTTACAGTGTTTCCCACAGAAGACATTTCATTCTCAACAGACCATAAAGGGGGCACTAAGAACCCTGGTATTCACAGGAGAAACACTTTAATCACCTTCTCTATAAAAAGGTTGTGGTGTTTTTATATAATGGAATACTACTCAGCCATAAAGAATGATAAACTCAAGTTTTTTATAGGTAAATGATTTATTTCATAAGTGAAACTGAAAGAGTAAAGAAACTTTAAAAGCAAATAAGATCCAAGTTACAACACATATAGTACAAAGGAAAGAAACTGCTCAAAAGGAAACTATGTTGTTTGATCAACCTTGCATGCCTGTATCTGATAGCCTGAGCAATTACTTTGAGGATAAAAATACAACCACCACTGTTAAATTTCTATCATCTTGTTTTGAAATCCTGTATCACCATTGCTTTTTATTATTTTGCTCCTTGATTTCTCTTTAAAATAACACCTTTCCTCTTCTGTGTTTCAATGACTATATGCAAGAGACATGTCAAAGTCCTTGACCTTACATCACTGAAATCTCCAAAAGATAAAAATGTAACAACTCCCACTGACCAGGTGTGGTGGCATACTCCTGTAATCCCAGCACTCTAGAGGCTGAGGCAGGAGGATCGCTGAAAGTTCAAGGCCAGTCTGGGCTACACAGTGAGCTCAGGACTAGCCTGAACTACATAGTGAGACCCTGTCTCAAAAAAACAAATAAAAACAAGGTGTTAATTCTCACGCCATCGGGAAAGTATCACCAATGTATGAGACAAGAACATATTAGTAGGTATAATGAATGAGGTTATCTAGGTGTCTGGAATGTCTCAAAAAACATAAACTGCCTCTCATTTGCCTCCTTCTAGTAAAACGAATTACTGAAATTGTAAATGTAAAACTAAATATATTTAATAAACGTTTGTAAAAGTGAGCCTGACAGTAGGGCTTTGCAGTGGGGTTTTTTCTTTCTTTCTTTCTTTTTAATTTGAGCCAGGCTCTTGCTTTGTAGTTCAGGCTGGCCTCAAATTTTGGGGGATCCTCCTGCCTCAGCCTCTCAAGTGCTAGGATTACAGGCATATGCCACCATGCCCAACTAGCAGTGGCTTTTTATACTATACTCCCAAGCCCCTACCCGCTGCCTCCTTGTTTTCCTTTACAGTCAGAGATCAATAGCTACAAAATTTAGGGTCTTCAAAATCTAGGGCTGGGGATGTAGCTCAGTGGCACAGTACCTGCCTGGCAAGTATGAGTATAAGGTCATGAGTTTAATTTTCAGTACATTAAAAAAAAACCACACCAGATACTAGGTTGGATAAGGCTGTGCTTTATTACATGCATAATTACAAATCTGTGCTAAGGGAAAATGTATAAAGCAATGGCGACCTAGATTTAAGCCACACAGAGAAAGGGCTGGACAATCCCATTAACCCTTCAGGCAATGTCCATCGCATTGCCTTTAACATGATTGCTTCCATTTCTTAAAATTTGCATAGCACTTACTGGTCAAAGTACTTTTCATTCATTGTCTCAGTTTATCCTCACAACAACCCTGTGAGGTAGGTAGGGCAATTAACACTATCCCCATTTTACAGATGGGAACACTGAGGCACAGAGCGGTTAAGATCTCAAGGCTAGTTAGTAGAAGCATAGGGAATCGAAACCAGGTCTCCTAACTCCCTGTCCACATTTTCTTTTTTACTTTGTTGCTATGCACGACCAGGGAGCAGAAAAAAGTGAGCAGTGAGCCATAGCTTTGGTTCAGACAGTGCCTATGAACAGGCGAGGATAAAGCTAAGAAAGCATGGCTAAAGAGTTGGCAACACTTAGAAAAATAATTGCTCTGCACAGCTCAGCACCAAGCTTCCTGTGGAAACTCAGGCTTTATCAGCTTTGGTTGAAGCCAGTTTCTGGATATGTAGCTGCTGCTCATTCACATTAACTTCCTTTAGCTGGCTGAACTTGAACCAACTCTAAGGAATTCAAATGTCCAGAAAGGTTTTCTTGGGCTACTACAACTGAAGCCAGCCCTAGAAAGGAGCTTTATACAGAGATACTCACATAGTGACCCATAGGCTGGAATCTGAGCCCTCTGATTCTTTTGGCCTCAATGGCTCACCCAAAAGCTGGTATATTTCCAATAGCCACAAGTGAATGGGAAGAGGTAAGAACAAGAGGCTGGCCTTGGTCAAATCAAGAAGCGTCATCATGATGACATCACTGTCACTTTTCAGTGATATGACCAAGATGCTGTCAGGCCCAACTCCTTTCTGGCCCGTACCTGGTTAGCAGCATAGCTTCAAAAGACAGCTTAAGAGAACAAAATATTAAACATTTTTTCTTGAATGGAATAAACTTATAACCATTACACAGTCCCAAAGGACCAAATATACATTAAAAAGTATGTGTGTGTGTGTGTGTGTGTGTGTGTGTGTGTATATATATATATATATATATATATATATATATATATATAGCTGAGTACTAAAAAGGCAGGACACTGGGAGGGAGACAAAGTGAAATAGATAATGGCAAAGGAGCACTCTGGAAGGATCATGGATCATATATTCTGAGGTACCCTCAATATGATAATGAGGCTGAATATTCCCACCCTCATGAATGTCATTACAGGCTCTGCCTTCTTCCTTATTTTGCAACATGGCATTTCCCTTGCCAAATCCTAGACTGTCTCTGAATTCCAACAGACTGGGATTAATAGATGATAATAAGGTTTAGCAATGGTTATTTCCTAGGTCCACCTTATGATGCTAAAGCCCTTGATACTCCTGATACTATCTTTGGCTATAACCTAGATGATAGAGAAAAATGCTAACATGCCATTTGCTTTGGAGGAGCTTTCATCCTCCGTTCTCAGCAGCATCCTCTCTCTCTTTTCCAAGGTATACATTCGAAACACTACTGTTTGTGAAAGTGGAAGGAAATCTGAATGCAGAACATGGTGGAGGGAAAGGAAGATAAAGAAATTAAAAGGGAGAGGCAGAGATTGTGTCTAATAAGCCTTCACATTTTTACATCACATCCTGTAAAAGTCAAACTTTGGCAAGTTATATTTATTCAATGAATGTACACTGAGGCTGAAGACCCACTGTTAGGTGGAAATTTAGGCAGGAATTCAGGAATTTAAGAGGTAGGAATTTATGACTGCAAGACTGGGCTGTGTGGCCTGAGAAGTCCCATCCAATAAATGCAAACTCAGCATATTATTTTCTTTCTTCTTTCTTTCTTTCTTGGTTGATCTGGAAAAATCAGATTACACAGAGTACACCATGGAAAACTACTTTTGTTCCCTACATCTTTTTAAAACTTTGCAAGGATCCAGATGTGCCACTGAGGTGTGTGGCCAGAAAATGCTGGGAGAGTAACTTAAATTTACTAACACCAACTCTTCCTAGAGCTTTTCTCTTTGGAGCAAACAACTGGAACTGAAGCAGAACAAAATTCCCTAATAGCCCAGGTCCATTGTGCTGACTGAGCTTCAAATTTACACAGCTTTTGAGCTCTGACCTGATCGTCTCTTACCTTTTTCTTTTCAACATGTAATAAGGATCTTTTAGGGAGTTTAAAAATAAAAAGGTAAAGAAAGCTTACCACTCAGATAGCACATTTCTTTCTGTGCAAATATCTGTGGATCAGCCTTCTCCATAAAACCAGACTGACTGCCTTTGATCTGAACATTGCTTTGAGCCTCTGGTTTGCTTCAACATAGGGGATTACTTGACTTGTTCTCACCTCAAAGCATATGATCAAGTAGTTTCTATACATCTCAGTGCCAAGATGCATGGCAAGGGGTATAGGATGCCTTTCCTTGGACCGTTTTATACTACTTATATATTTTCTTAATTGAGCCTTTCTACTGCCATCTCTTTCAATTCCCTCCCCAAAGGAAATCCCACAAATGTTTAAAAATTAAAACTTTGGACACTAATATTTAGCCCATATATCTATTTTGCAAAAAGGTACACTGCTTTTCCTACAAAGGGTTTAGATTCAGCCTTTGGCACCAAAACAACTGAATTGTTTTGCTGCTCAATCAGCAAATTAATCATTTGCTACACCAGCTGGCAAATTCAAAACACTGTCAATTTCAAGTAATCTACCAAGAGAATGTCTACTTTTTGGGTATTACCTCTACTTTACAGCTGGGATGAGCCAGAACTGTGGAGCTAGAGGAAGAAGAGTGTGTTGCAATTCATTTCTAGACAAACATCAGAACAGAAATGATTATTAACATAGCCATGATTTTGTATTTCAGTCCTCTGCTTCTTTCCTCAACTTTTCTCTCATCATATATTCACTGTGTCAGCTTTCTTACATTCTTCACATTGCAGATCTGAAGGTACAAATTATAACAGTCAGATTTAACACTCTGACTCACTTCATGGCTGGATGCTGACCAAATATTCTTCCTTGGAAAATCCAAATTCTGTCAAAGTACCTATTGGCATTTTTTTGTAAACCCTTGCCTTGTGTCAGGTAATTTTCTGGTCTAGTACCAAAATTGACTAGTTTCTATTCATTCATCTTAAAAATCACAAGTTATCTAGTCTTTTGCCACTGAGGTATGTGGCCAGTGGAGGCTTTAGACAGACATCCCAATTTTGGCATTGCTTTTTGGTTAAGTATGTTTAATGCTGAAACGTCAATGGCAGGAAGCATATCTGCCTTCAAGACAAGAAACTTGTCTTTCTTCCTCAAGACAAGAAACTGTGAGTGTCAAGGTGCTGAGCTAACAATCTTGTAGAGTGCTCCAGGACAATAAGCCAAACTTTGAAGTCAAACCATAATATTGAACACATAGTACACACCATACATTATAGCTACTTCTAGCACACAAGCAACAAGAATTCCTGAGAAGCTGAGGTTAATGAATGAGATTTAAGAAAAGTGAGGTATCAAAGGGATATTGTCATTCTCTGGGGAGCCAATTGGTGCTTAGTATCTAGAAAGTATACCTTGGCACAGTGTTATCTGATTTTTGAATTAATTCTCTGAAATAGCACCTTAGCACTGGCTCATCTGTCTGAAATAAAGAAAACAGCCTAGAAAAAACACAAAGGCAAAATAGACACCCTTCACGTTACTGATGGACTATGAAATTTGACCAAACCTTCTCTTGCCATCAAAAACAGCAATAGTAACATTTCTGGTTTTGCAAACTTTAGCGGAAGGATGGTTAATAAGATAGATATTGAACCAGAAATATACAAATAAGAACTTTGATCTCTACACAATATGCACATTGGTCAGTCAGGAAGTCTCATCTCATAGGAAAGAATCAGTGGCATAGAAGGGACAAAGGGCATAATGTTACTGAGCCGTGACTATGATACCATGTACCCTGGAGCATTTTCTTTTTTATTAAAATGCTAAGATATATTTAAAAGGAGGAACTCTGGTGACTGCCTCTATAGTTAAAAGATTAAAAAAACTGTAAAAAAAACTTGGCTGGTCTGTTCTGGGCAATAAAAGAATCTTGGATTTTGTAAAGTTGAAAAGTTCTAGATTTGGGAAGCAACAACTTTTAAATGAGGTACACTGTGGTGTTTGGGGAGTATAAGATAATGTGCCAAATGACTGCTGATTCTGAAGTGCTAGGAACAGATTTTTAAAATAATCAGAGCTGAATTCTCATCTCTGACAGTGGAATTTCCTTGCCATGGGAATCTTGGGCAGCAATGCAGACAGAGTAATTGCAACTGAGCCACATGGCAAATAAAGGGGTTATGTGACCCCTCTAGTTCATGTGCCATAGGATTGCTAAGCCCTGCTTTACAATTTAACTAGCCCTAGTATTTATTTTTTGTCACTAGAAATTATTAACCAGGCATACTACTTAATCTGAGGATTCAGAATGAAGGAAAAAGAGTAACAGAATGGATAAGGAGTAACTGCACATAAGTAAAAGTACAGAAAATGAAACAGTGATTGGAATGATGGTGATGGCGCTTTAATTCCACCAGGTGTCTCTACTGTGTAATTTTTTAAAACTAGTTAAGTGTGGTAGAAAATTGAGACAGGCACCTTTTCAAAAGCATACAAGCACCTTTGGTGTCACCAGGCCTTGTCCATATCCCAGGTCTTGGGTGGTTCTGCACTCAAGTCACACTTGCCTATTCTGTTCCAACATCTTGAATATATGTTAAAGTATCTCAAGCCTAATTCATGCTTATAGGGACAACATGAGCCTGTTATATGTACTTTATGCTGGGAAGAACTTGAATGCTGTTATTTTAGTACTGGTAGTGTTTATGAAGGAATGCATAAAGATGCTGATGCAGCTCTGAATCTTCCCTAGTTTACCAGTATGCAGTCTAGACTTGATTCCCTTTACTATTCTTAAATATTCCAGAAGGCTAAAGCACCATCATTCATGGAAGTGGCATCTGAGTAAGAGGGTTAGTTAGGACCTCACAAAAATGTCAAATTCCTAGTCATTGACTTTGCTTAGAACTTTACTTATCATTCATTTTAAGGAAGCTGAAAGAAATCATCCCTTGATACCAGCAAATTCATGGTAAAGTCATTGTCTACTAGCTAACAAAAATCACCTGGACCGTTTGCAGACAAGAAGAAAGCTCTCTAAGTTACCTTTGTGCACTTCAAAAGAGTACCAGGAATAAGCAAGCTATAAAAGTCAACCTCTCTAAACTCATTTAGAGGAGATTAACCAAAGCAGCATTGTTTTATAATCAGAAATTAAAATTAACATACACATAAACACATAACAAACTGATAATGCTAATTATTATAACAGGAACAAGGATAATATTTGAACTGAATCTTCACAGTCTAAAAAATACCATCACTATTTTCCTTCTGGCTTTCTTTTCTATTGCTTGAAAAGCAAAGCCCCTTAGTTTACACTTCATTTTCCACCAATGACAGATTTCCCAAAAGTGAATTTTTTTCATGAGTTTCCTGCAGGTTATGGGTCAGGACATTTGGAATTTTTCTTGCATAGTTTTCAGTAATTGCATATTGGCTAACAATAATTGTTTAAATTAAAAAATCATTTAAAAATATAAACCATAGCAATCTTATTTATACTCTTTCATGAGATCTTCCTAATGCAATATATCAGAAGCCTAACTGTATTTTCTCCTAAAGAGAAGATTAATATCCAGAATATGTAGTGCAACTGGTTAAGTTGTAGGAAAGAGACAACACACTAATATGACTTCACCATCCAATGGGAAATGTGTTTTGGGTACCCAATTAATAAAATATATCCACGGTCTGCAATGTCCTTCCTGTTTTATATCCAGAAGAATCCCGATTCTAGTTGAAGAGAATGGAATCTGGATCTTGGTTTGCCATCTGTGCTATATGCTTTAACACATCCTTTTTGGTAATAATTCCAAGCAATCGTCTGAAAAACATAATACAAAAAAAACAATGAATTTACACTTTAAAAAACTTTCCCATCATCACACTTATATTTCTCTTTTTCAGTGGTGTTTTTAAACATGATGGTGTCTGTACTTCCAGAATGATGAGAAAACTGGAGTAGGATGCATGTTCCAGACAAAGGAAACGATGCACGGGTCCCTATTATATAAACACATAAGCACTTCTACTCCTAGGTCTCAGATTCTCCAATTTCCTCTAGTTTAAATATTCTCCTCTCTATATATAAATTTTACCTACCTAACTGCAATCCAATTCAAATGCTCCCTCTTCTAGAATCTGCCTTGATACAAGCCAACCATCACTCTGCCCCTCTCCCAGCAATAACATGTTATATGTAGCCTTCCTCTGTAGCACTTGTTCTCTTTGCTATCATTCTATAGCCACTTGTATGTTCCTACCTTCCCTATAATACTACATGCTCTTTGAGGGCAGAGAAAGGTCTTACTCATTTTTACATCTCCTTAAAGTTCAGCTGACTAGCTTCTTACATGAGTAGGGATTCAGTAAATGTTGAACGAGCCAGTTGGGGAAAGTCCCCTTATGGATTTAAATCCCGCAAGACATTGTTATACTACTTCGCAGTTTTAAAGGAGGGGAAAATTCTTGTATAGTTGCTAGCTAACACACAGCATGTTCATAAAAACTCCACCCCTCTCCTGAACCTCTCCTCTTTTTCAAAAAAAAAAAAAAATAGCAGGGCTTCTTTTACTGGACAAGAACTATTTCAGAAGGACAGAGTCTTAGGTTTGGAAGTCAGGAGACTATTTTTTAAAGCCAGCTCTGCTATATCTTTAAACAAAGAGAAGACTTTATGCATTTCAAAAAAGTACCAGGAATAAGCAAGCTATAAAAGTCATCCTCTATTTGAAGGTAAAGAAAAAGAGGAGAGAGAGAGAGAGAGAGAACAGATAGCTCCTTTGGATAAGTAGGGAGCATTCAGAAGCAAAACACTTCTCTCTGCTATTATTTAACTGGGGATGCTCATGTAAATCATAAGACCTCACTGAAACTTGCTTTTCTTATCCTACAGTAATAACAAATAATGGATTGTAAGGGTAAACACAGTAGTCCCCTCTTATCCTTGCTTTTTGTTATCCATGGTCAAGCATAGTCCAAAAATATAGTATAGTACAATGAGCTACTGAAAGAGATGAGGTATGTGTGTGTGTGAGAGAGAAAACATTCATATAACTTTTATTATATATATATATATATATATATATATATATTGTTGTAACTGTTCTATTTTATATTTATTGTTGTTAATCTCTTATTGTGCATGATTTATACAATTTATTATAGATATGTATGTATAGAATAAATATCATGGTTTTCAGGTAACCCATGATGGTCTGAGAAGCTATCTCCCAATGATAATGGGAGACAACTGCACTATCCATACTGATACCATTATAATTTCAGTGATACCTGTGCATAACAACACAGCTGCTTCTTTCATGTTAGAAGTTGTTAATGTACAACTAACAGTTGATGCTTCTCAAACAGTAGTCTTTTTTTTTAAACACATGGCTTTTCATCTCAGAGCTTCAAAAAGGCCTAAAAGCTCTACTATTGTTGACTTAAATTGGGTTCTTCCTTCTGCCTCCACATTTTCTTATCTCCAACAGTCGACTTTGCCTTCCCCCAAGGGTCCTCACCCATTGTGTGTAACCAGGCATTGCCGTAGTCCCAGCTTGCGGAAGATATCCACTACTATCTCCATGGGTGTAAGATCAGTCACAGTGAAAGGGCTGAGATCGAGGATGTTCCGAAGCTTCAGAGTGGGTGCAGTGTATGGTGGCACTGGAGGAGAATGCTCAGTGAAGTAAATTATGGATGTGCTCACAACTCCATCTTGCTTCTTTCGAGCATTTTCTATTTGAACAGAAGGGAGAGAGTTGAAAATAGAAATGCTAGCTCTACTTTTATGGCACTTAAGTAGTTCTATCAACCCTCTCTTTCCCCCTACTTCATGCATATTCATTTCATTATCCCCTTTCTGAGTTCTTACCAATTGAAATAATGAGATCTCTTCGAAGAACAAAGCCTACAAGTCTTTGGGACTCCCGGGAAACTACCACTGGGAAGCCACTGTAAGTGGTTTCACTGATTATGGTCTCAACATCTTCCACAGTCATGCTGTCCTGAGTAAGGACAGTCAACAAAGGATCATTTCTCCGGGGTTTCATCACATCCATTGCCAGGGTCTTATGTGCAAACTCTTCTTTGGCTTCAAGAAAGGGATATCCATTGAGACGGATATGGGCATCATAGATGCCTTCCCGTCCAAGAGCATCTGCTACCCACTTGCTTGTCATAGCTGCAGCCATCAGAGGAACAATATATTCCAAGCCACCAGTCAGTTCAAACATTATGACAACAAGAGAAACAGTCATGCGAGTCACTCCACCTGTGAGGAAACAGACACAGCCCACTGAAGGCAGATGAAGCAAAGTATTCATTGCAATTATGGGTCTGTCATGGGCCCTACCCAGTAAAAGCTCATTTAGCAAAATTAACACTAGAACAGGATTTCATCTACAACTGTGCAGACCCTAGAGATTGTGTTAAAATAAGGTTACACTTGAGATTTAATTTTAAAAATGTCTACACAAGTATGCCTTTTGACTGTTGTTTTAATTTGTTTGTTGCTTCTTTCCCTCATTAAGAAATGCATGCGTACTGTAGAAAATTCGGAAAAGGGGAGTCATTATTCACAAGCTCACTACATGTGAGACAGTTGAGTAAAACTTTTGAATGGCAATTTCCAGTTTTTCTATGCAAAAACATATTTTTCTGTAGGGAAACTTATATTAAGTATAATTCCCTACCATGCGTTTGCCCCATTTTATATATGGAACATAAAACATATTATTAAAAATTTAATATCATATTTAAAGACATTAAAAATTAACATCATATTTAATGGCTATAAAATATAGTGTTATATGAATGGAATAATTTATTTAACCAGTTCTTTACTGTGCAAACAGGCTGATTCTTGGTATACACTAGAAAAAAGAGCTTCTTTATATTTGTATTATACCAAAATACCTGTAATGTGACCCTAACTGTTCTTTCTCTTTTTCTTCTCCCTTCTCCCTCTGGGTGAGCTAACTGATATGTTAACCATTGCTGCCCTCTACAAATAACAGATGTGGCGCTAAAATAAGGTAACAAAAGGTTATTAATTACTGCTAGACTCCTCTGTTCTCTGCTGAGGAAAACAAAGGTCTTCCTCATTAACAGATTTACTGACCCACCCCACGACCCCCTTACTTTGTAAATTGTGATATATACTTAAAGGTGGCAAATATAGAGGAGCAACACACACATCTTTTGCAATCTCCAACTGCACTGTGTCGCTGGGCCCAGGATAAAATAAATCAGTGCTGCTTTTTTAAAATATGTTTTTGCCTCATTTTTTGAACTCGAGTTTGGAGGCTCGTTTGTGGATTACAAGAATTCTAACTTTTTATTCTTGTGCTGTTATCTTTGTCTAAGTTTCTAATTATCTCCCCACTGTGAGAAAATAAAAATAGCTTTCATAATGACTTAAATACAACAGGTTCAACAGGAATGGTTGATCTTTTTAAAAATGTGCAGTCAACTGTACTTGACATCACTCTCCTTTTACGTGGAGAGTAGCTCTTTGAAATCAATGCAGATACTACTCACCTAAGCAGGCTGCGGCCCCAACCATTGCATAAAGTCCAGGAGTGATACAGTCAGCTCCCTGACTACACCAGCTATTGAAGATGGTCCAGTCACGGTGGTGATAGGCCAGTTGTTCCATCCCTACTCCTAAAAGTCGACCTGCTATAGCACCAACAGCCATGCTAGGTATAAAGAGGCCAGAAGGGATCTGCAAAGAGAAAGCACAGATGATTAGTGAGAAATAATGCAATTGCTTGGTGAATAGTAAGGGCTGGAAGACTGACCCTTTGCGAAGCAAACAGGCCAATTGACAGTTTAACTATGCACTATGCTAGCAAGTGGCTTTAAAGATTTGTGTAAAACTACAGGGAATAGAGGCTTTCTGGGATGTGCAGGCAAGGATGACTGCAAAGAAGCTTACCCTGATTCAGGGTCCATCAAGCAAGAGCCTGAACTCTCCAGACCAACACAGAACTGGAAAATTAGGCCTTTTCCAAAGAAAAAGGAAAATAGATGGAATTTCTTAAATAAGCAGACATTTCTCTCAATTTTGAACTCTATCAACAGCAACTACCTTTTATTGACCGGCATGTTCTATGCTGGATGTTCCACATATAAGATTTTACAGATGCTTTATAACTACCCCAGAAAATAGGCATTTTTATTGCCAATGACAAAGAACCTAAGGTTTAGAGACATTAAGTCCCTGACCACAGATCAAGATTTAGTGAACTGAAATTTAAATGGGATGCTTATAACCCTACTCATACATTGAATCCTAACCCACTGCACTCACAAATAGGATGACATATAAAGTTCTAGTCTATTTGTAACTTTATAAAGAAAGAGTAAATAAATAAAAATTAAGATAACAACTACAGTTACATGCTTAACCAAAAAAGGAAGCTTCATTTATTTCTTTGTTCTTTTTCTTGAATTTCAGGATATTGTTTATAGTCTGTACTAAGAAAGGGAAATGATGGTAAGGATAATCAAAACTACAGAAACACTGTGTTTAATTCTGGAAGGCATTTGAATTTGTTGTTCTGATGGTATAGAAATGTCCTCTAAATAAAGCAAAAAATTCGTGAAGTGAAAACTAAGAAGCACTGCAAAAAGTTTCAGTCTCCATCCTATCCCTATACTGAAGGGATAGATGACCTGGTCTCAGAGAGACCACATTGTCTACATTGAGCTGCTGTCTCTTACTCTGATTTGAATCTCAGTTTCCCTAGGCAGTAAGGGAAATAACCAGGTAGTAGTGTGTAAAGAAAAGAAATAAACAAAACCTAGAATGGATGATGGAAACACTTTAACAATTTTTCCTTTTTAGTTTCTGCTGAAACACGAAAATGTTAATAGGTACTGAAAGCAAAACGTACCCACCATATGACTGTTTTCTTTGACACATAAAAACTATACACATTTATGGGATGTGGTATGATATTTCAATACATGTCCACAATGTGTAATGATCAAATCAGTGTGAGTAGCATGTATGTATCACCTTAAATGTCTTTGTATTGGAAACATTCAAAATCCTCCTCTCTATTCTAATATATACAATAAATTATTAACTATAGTCATCCTGTTGTGCTACAGAAGAATAGTACTTAATCTTCTTAACTGTATTTTGTAAACATTAACCAATCTTTCTCTATCTTTTCCTCCCTACTACCTTCCCGCCTTTAGGAACCGCTATTCTACTTTCTACTTCTATGAGATCAATTTTTTATAGTTTCTGCATACCAAAGGAGATTTCACTGATGTCTGCTTTTGATAGTTTAAATATTATAGTACTAACTTGTGAAATGGATCTCACTGGTTAACAAGTAAACACTGATTTCAACTGTAAAACATACTCTTAGCTATGTATGGGGTTGAACCACATGAAACTATAGTCAAAATGTTTGAGTATCAGCAACTTTGTGAGGTTCAGCCTATAATTACATTTAATTAATAAACTAAAGTCATTTTATAAGGACTAACAGTATTGTTGGATACTGGATTTTGATACAAAAGGCACTGGAATAAATATCCTTTTTGAGGGGCAAAATGGTTTCCACAGAAAAGGAAAAAAATATTTCTTCCTCAAATCTCAAAAGTGAGGTTTGCATTTGATCTCAAAATAAGCTTGGACAATTTGATACAGAGGTGCAATTGTCTATGAAGTTACAAAAACAAGTCAGGGTTAAGAGGATTTGGGGAAAATCACTTTGAGGAGTCTGAAAGCACCATATCACATGAGCTATTAAGATCATAGAATACCTTGCCTTTGCTCTTCAAAACCCACAGCCACACAGTCTCTGAGTACCAAGAGAGTTCCTCACCTTCATGCCAAAGGTGAATATTGTAATGACAATTTTCAGAATGAGTGTCAAAGCCAGCTGCCACATGGCACTGGAGACTCCAGCACCAGCAGGTCTGTCAGGAAGTTCACCACTCTTGCTTGTGTTGGAAAGGTTCTTATAATCGCAAAGCTTGGAAGAGTCCAGAAGGCCACAGTCATTGAACAACTCAGAAATGAGCTCACTTGTGCTCATTCGGGTATATTCATTGGGGAAAGCCAGGATGGCAGTGATGGCTGTCACAATGAGTACCTCTATGACAGGATACTTGCCCAACTGGGTGGTCTTCCGCTTCCGACACCATGCAATATTTGTGCGGATAAACAGAGCTCCCCACAGACCACCAAATATGCCCAACAGAATGAATGGCACAAGCTCAAAGAGATGCCATGGAGTGTGAAACTCCACATAAAATAGCACTAGGCGACTGTTCCCAAATGGATTGATGGAACGTAGAGTAAATGCTGCCACTAGGGCAGCAAAGAATGAACGCCACAAGGTTTTGAGGGGAAAATAGTAGCTGACCTGTAAGACATAAGGTGAAAAATCAAATTCAGTCAATCTGCAAAAACTGATTCAGGTGGAAAACTGGCAATGCCAGTATTAGAGATGAGGATAAAAACGGGCCAGGAATTTCTGGTCACATGGTAAAGCACTGGGTTGGGCAGTACGCTCAGGGACCGCAATCCACCTAGATGTTGACTGAAATTCCTGACACTAAAGCACACACACACATTTCTACTGAAAGTCAGAAGTCATTACCTCTTCCAGGCTAAATAATACTCCACCAATAGGTGCCCCAAAGGCTACAGATACACCAGCAGCTGCTGCAGCCGACAAGACCTATAATCCAAAACTCAAAATTAGTAACAGAATAATACCACTTCCCAAATTCAAGTGCATTTTTAAAAGGAACATTATTGGTTACTAAATATTTTTGTAAAAATCTTAACATGTTCCATATCCTCAAAAATGAAGTTCAATCTCTAGTTACTCCGAAAGAAAACACTATATGCCAGATATTGAACACAAAGACACGATTCACATGCCTCATTGGGAAAGAGGACACTCTCTTCGTGATTCAGGTATGCACTTCATTCTAAATTAAGACCTCCCCCATTCAAAATTCTCCCAGTTCAGAAACTGAATTTGAGCTTTGAGCTTCCTCACCTAAAGTACATACAATATGTATCTAAAGAATAACTTGTAAAGGAATATCTTGAAATGAGCTGCGAAAGAAGATTCTAGTGACGTAAAACTGAAGTAATGATCGGTTCACAGCTATTCAGGGACTGAACTACTCATACAATTAGTATGGAGAATTTTCTGTGCTATGCCCAATGCATACCCAGTAACCTGTGGAAATAGAACAAGGGAAACAACCAGATGTTTACAGGATGAGAAGACCTAAAGAAGATTAGGTGTGGCAAGCAAAAGGGCCCGAAGAAAGAGGAAAAAGCTGAGACTGGGAAAGAGGGACAAATAAATAGGGAAAGAAAATACATGATATTTAGAAGGTGCCACCTGAGTATGCAGATATGTATGTGCATGTAAAATGTATAGGAGTAACTCTGGTGAGAGAAAACAAACCAGAATTAACGGAAGAGCTCAAGTTTTTTTTTCCTCAGATCCTAATTGCTGTGGAGAAACAAATGATTTGGAGAGTGAGGAAATATTTTAAAGAGAAAGTTAAACAGAATTAAGAACTCTGAAGAATAAAATTGTTCTTGGTGAAATAAGTAAGCAAGTTTCTTCAGAAGTGTAGGTGGTCCAGGAAAATGAAGGAGATGAAAGAGATTTCCAATTCTATATTACTCAACTATAAAAAAGGATGATCTTGAGGCCTTCATAGTTTACCTAACTAAACAGAGGCAACTTGAGACTATCCTAGTACGTGAAAAAAATATTTATAAATATCACATTGTGTCTCTAGTATAAAAAGTAATAAGAACTGTAGGAGTAATAAAACCCAAAATGTGTAATTGCTATTGTAAAAAAGAGAGGAAAACAAAGTGCTCTAAAGAATATAACTGTTTGTTATAACTGTTTAAGTTTATAACTGTTTAAGTGTTATAACTGTTTAAGTGTGTAGGATTGATAACCATATTAATAAGTTTTTGTTGGATCATTGAACAGAACTGTTTGCAGTCTCACTGTTTGAATGTCCACTTTGTATGCTTTAATTTTGTAACTTGAACAACTATTTCTAACATGGTAGTATGTAATTTATTAACTAGTGATTTCTTACTGTTACTTTTTTTTTTGAAATTATGTGTTATTTCTACCCTTTTTCTGTTTTGCTTTTTTTTTTCCTCTTTAAATACAATTTTTTAAAAAAAGAGATTTCCAATTGTAGCTGTGAGGACTTCAAAATGTATAGCATTCTTTTCATATGAAAATTATGAGGATGGCCATCATGCAACTTGAGAAAGGGGATTTTACTATGTTCAAGATGAATGAGAAGGGAGACGAAAGAACTGAATTGGCTGGCATGCTTTAGTTTTCTACTGTAGAGTGGAATTCGTCTACACTATTCTCAAATCTGTTTGCTCTCAACCATCTGCCCACTCTGGCAAAGCCAACTGAGCACAAAAGAGTTGCTGCCAATATTGCAAACAATAGGAAAAAATAAAACTCTGAGTAAGCAATAGGGAATAAATTTAACATTCAAATACGAATGAGTCAAGTTGGAGAAATAAATATATGGTATCTGTAGAAACAGGCAAATAAAATTCCTCTCATTATATAAGGAACAATTTCAACAAAAATGCCACTTTCATGGAAGGAAAGCAACCAGTAACTTGTAGTTTCAAATTAACCTCTATCCATTCAAAACCAACAATAATCAACACTTCACTCTTTTTTTTGGTACCAGGGATTGAACACACAACTTTGCACTTGCCAGGCTGGCACTTACGCTGCTAAGCTAAACCCCCAGCCCAACACTTCATTCTTGCCTATATTTTTTTTCAATTCTCTCACTTCTGTGAGTTATTCCCATTTAACAACCTCCACAATTCAACACAAGCTTGTATCCCTCTGCAGGTAACTAAACAATCTACTCACATGTCTCTGTCTCACTCTTTCTAGCTTTTCTCTCTTTTCTAACTATGTCAGAAACTTCCCCCACTTAACTGTCAACATTTATTAAATATTTGAAATCTCAACATATTTCTAATTTCCTCCTAGGTTTATGGTTAACTTTTTTAGTTTTCGGAAGAAATCATGAGGGTACAATTTTCTGAGAAATCCTTTTGAATAAAATTATCTTGGTCTTGAACCCTTCTCCAGATGTGATTTCTTTGTTACTAAAAAAAATAAAGCAAAACCCACTATTTTTCTTATATCCTTAATTATAGCAGAGCAAAAATAACTAATGACTTGAAAATCTTTTTTAAAATAGTCTTCCCCCTCAAATTAACATATAGTAACAACTATATAAATTTGATAGGGGACCAGGAATCTAGCTCAGTGACGTAAGCGACTGCTTGGCAAACACGAGGTTTTGAGTTTGATCCCCACTACCAAAAAAATTTTTTTGAGACCAACTATAGAGACACTGCAATAGGACTAAGTTAGCTAACTGAGGCCAGAGGTACTGGTCCAATACAGTAAGAAACTAGCTCAGGTATAGTATTAGGCAGAAATAAAAGATGAAAAAGCTGACATCTGGAATATATACTTAATTTGTATTTATTCTTCTGTAAGAATAAACTTTAAAAATCTACTATCTTGTAACTTCTTTTGTAATAGAAGCAATACATACTTCACAGAATTACACGCAATACAAAGTTAAAGTTCTTACTTCTCTATGCCTACCACCTTATCCTCTGTCTTACCAGAAATAGATATTTTTAACAGTTTGAGGTTAAGATCACTTTCCAGAAAAAAAAGATCACTTTCCAGACATATTCTTTTTAAATACACAGATAATATACTTTTAAAAAACATTATCTGAATTACACAATATATGTTAGTCAAATTGTTTTCTTTTTAATTAACAGTGTAATATCATCAGCATTCCATGCCACCATCTATAGGACTATCTCCTTCTTTTTAATTGTTGCATAGCATTCAAAATTATGGACAGTATATTGCTTATTTGGTAGTTCCCTTACTGATGGACACTTTGGTAGTTTCAGATTTCCACTATGTTAACAAATACTGCACTGACTACCCCCAGACAACTGTATGCACACACATGCTAGAAAGCCTGCAAGAGAAATTCCTACAAGTGGATTTGGTAAGTCAAAGGGTCCTTGAATTCACAGTAATAAAGTCACCCAATTGCCACCCCTAAGATTGTATCATTTATGCTTTCATGCAAAAAAAGACTATAAAAGCCAGTTGCCATTACCTCTCTGCGCTTAGCTTCATTCTTCCTGTACTTGTTGAAGCAGTGGCACAGGATGTTCCCACAGCAGCAAGCCACGTGCACTAGGGGGCCCTCTTTGCCCAGGCTTAAGCCAGATGACACTGCCAGCACCAAGGTGATGGTTTTGATAATCAGGGTCCACTTACCCAAATAGCCCCTAATAATGAAACCACTCAGGATAGTTTTTATCTGCAGGTCAAACAAAGAGAGATTGGATATGGAAGTAAAGAAGGCTAAGAAGCAAAAACCTGGAACTCATTACAGACACTGAACGTTTGAACAAGTGACATACAGGTAGAGAGGGAACCCAGAAGCTAAAGAAAGCCAAAACTTCAAGTTTTCATGTACTTTTTTGGGTGGGGTAACAGTGGGGAGCCATGTGACAGCTGGGCAAGAGGACATCATAAATATGACAGTGTTTAGATGGAGAGGGAGGCATGCAGGCAAAAAACAGGTGCTTCTTTAGTTTATAAATTGATAGCCCAACAGTCATGTTCTGAGACAAGAAGGTCAGTCAGTGTTCCTGAAACAACTTGAAAGATTAGGTATAGCCTTGCTTAACTCCCAAAGAAATGTGGGACAATTCCTGGATCAGGAAACAGACGGGAGTAAGGTCACCCTGGAAACCTAAAGTCTCAGTCACTGTCAAGCAGCCTAAACCAAAAGTAGTTAGAAATAGGGTTTCAATCACCATTATACCCTCCTAGACTAAATCAGGTAACCGAGGCTGAGAAGAGACTTAAGGAAAACCTAAAGAGACATTACAAGGCCCCAGGACCTTAAAAAGTGTTGTTGTTTTGTTTTTTGATTCAGGTTGCTTAGGTTGGTCTGCAACTTGTGAGTTTAAATGTTTCTCCTGCCTCAGTCTTCCAAGTAGCTAGGAGTATAGGCACATGACATCCAACTTATCTAAATCTATTTAATATTCATCAAACTTGCAGGCATAGTGCTGTACTCCTGGAAATTCAGTGACTTGAGAGCCTGGGGCAGAAAGACAGCAAGTTCAAAACCAGCCTGGGAAACTTAGAGACACTCTGTCTCAAAATAAAATTCTAAAAAGTGTTGGGGATATAGCTCAGTGCAAAGACCCAGCACTACAAAACACATTTTGGTATATGCTAGAATATATATTAAAATGTTTTAACAAAAAGATTAGTATTATAAACATTTGGAAACCATTTAATAATAGACTTACCTCAGGGATTCCAGACCCACAGGCATAAGGTGCAAACACCTTAACAAGAGATACAGCAAGGAAGGCAAATAAAAGAGCCCAGAGGACGTACATGAAATAGTTGACTATGTAGGCAAAGGCTCCCTAGAACAAGGAAAAAAAAGAGAAGCTTGTTTTAGCTTACACTGGCATCCTGAGGCACGTAGCTCTTCTGAGTAATGATTTTTCCAGAAGGTCAGAAAGACAATGATTAACATTAAATTGCTCAAAATTTTTTTTCCTGATTGTCCAGTTAAAACAACTACTGAAACACTTGTCAGGTCACTTAATGCTGAAAATGAGATGCTCTGCTATGCCCAAAGAAAATTTACAATGTGTTTTAATAATGCATGTGGAGAAACAACCAAAAAACCCTGAAACAAAATTAATTTTGATGTGAGTGCTTTGCTAGTTTTTGTAACCAAATATATAAGATTCTGTGTTAATTTTACCAAGAGTTTTAGCAGCGTCCTTCCCCTGCCACAATGGCTGAACTCTGGCTGCACAATGAAACTGAAAACCAGATCCAAGTTTTTCTATTTAAAAAAAAAAGCCCTATCACATTCACCTCTGGCTACCTATCTTGGTGTCCAATTCCTACAGACAGTTATAGTGACTGAAATTTCTAAATGTCTTTTGTGTTTTTAAACTATGTTTGTTGTAGATGTTTAAGATATACAACATGATACTGCTTTTGTTTTTGGTGCAGAGGATAGAACCCAGGGCCTCATGTAGGCTAAAGCACACACTTTACCACTAAGCTACACCCCTAGTCCTGATGTTGATATATATTTATACAGCAAAATGATTACTACAGATTTACATATCTATCATCTTCCACAGTTACTTTTTTTAATATGTATGGTAAGATCCTAAAATCTATTTTCTTAGCAAATTTTCAGTATACAATATTAACTATATTCTTTGTATGGTATATTAGATTTTTAGATTTTCTTCATTCCACCTAACTGCAAATTCATAGCTTTGGCCTACTTTTCTGCATTTTCTCTAGTAACCATCAGGCTACCTTCTTTATATTCAACTTTCTTAAAGATTGTGCATATAATTATTTTATCTTTGGAGAATTTTGCTACCATAGGTGCAGGGACAAGCGTTATGAGTAGAAGATTTTTAGGCCCTGATGATGGTAGATATTGCAAAAACCAAAAGGGAATAACCATTTCAAGCAGGCACTGAGGACAGAATCCAGTCTCATGCATAGTAGGCAACTATTTTACTGCTGAGCAATATCCCCAGGCATATTTATCCATTTTTAAAATGGAGAGAACATATTTTTGAGACTGTCCCTACAATAATGAAGTGTGCCACAAAAATATCTAGTTTTGACCACTAATCAAAAATTCATCAACAATAAAGGGCTGGTACATAGCCATACCTTATTGAAAAAAACAATTTTGAATGCTAGGAAGTTATGCTTACTGGTAAAAATATTACCAGTTCAAACTCATTCAAATTATATGGAATGGAAAATTCAATAGACTTTTCCATGCCTGTAGTCCCAGCACTCTGAGAAGCTGAGGCAAGAGTATCTCAAGTTCAAGCTTTAACTCGTAAATTCAAGGCCAGCCTAGGCTTCATAGTGAGTTCAAGGCCAGCCTGAACTATATAGCAAGACGCTGTCTCGATAAACAAACAACAACAAAAACAACACGTTCAAGCTCAGTTTGAGTAATCTAACAAAGTTACTCAAAATTAAAGGTGGGGATAGGCTGCAGATATAGCACAGTGTAAAAGCCATGTTCAATCCTTAGTACCACCTAACAAGAATAATAATAGAAATAATAACTTTGGTTTTTTTTTTTTTTTTTTTTGATTTTTTGAGACAAGGTCTCACCTCTATAGTTCAAACTGACCGCAAACTTACAGCAATCCTCCTGCCTCAGCCTCTTAAATGCTGGGATTATAGGCATGTATCACCACACCTAGATTAATTTTTCATTTTTGAAAACACTATTCGATTCTCTGACCTAGACAAGAAGAACCAGAACACTCAGTATTTTTTATGAGCTATAAGTTTTACACAGGTTTTCTATGATTTTAGTTCCTCAAAGACACAGACAACTGCTCTCTCTCTACATTTCAAATGTACCTTGGAGTAAAAAGATTCCAGAGGTAATAAACAGAGAAAAGAGAGCAAAAGAGAAAGTAAGAAAAATTAGCCAAAGGCAGAAAACAAGAAGCAAAATTCTTGGCAAGAGAAGGCTTCTCAAGATGTGGAAGACTTTTCCCAGGCAAGGTCTGGGGAAATAGGGCTTGTGTATTATAGCCATGTTAATTTCCTGTATTTTCCTGAGAAAGGCTGAGTGAAAGGTACAGGGAACTGTCTTGCATGTTGTTTTAACACTTCCTATGAATGTATAACTACTTTTAAAAAGCAAGTAACACCTACATACATTCACACCTGCACAGATGCACACTCACTCACCCTAAGTTCTAGGATTTTCAAACTTTTCTATACCAGTTTCTCCTAATATAGGAGAATAAATAAAAGACATCAGGGTAAGGGGCTGGGGATTTAGCTCGGCAGCATAAGCACCTGCCTTGCAAGCAGGCGGTCGTGAGTTCAATCCCCGGTACCGATAAAAATGAAAAAGACAAAAAAAAAAAAAAAAAAAAAAGACATCAAGGTAAAGGGCAGTAGTTACCTGATAACAGAGCTAAAACAGACAACTTGGGTTTTTTTTCCACAAACATGGAAATTTTATATTCCATTTTTAATGACTGTTTAAAAAAGTTTCCTCCAAATAGAATATCTGATGCTCTAGAAAAGCATGTAATATTCATCTTGCAGTTTTACTTGTCCCAGGGCACACTGACCATACCCCAGTTTGGGAAGCACAGACCTAAACCCTCACAAACATGCACCATATACACTATCTACCTTTTAGCTGAACCCTTGCACTGAATCAATATGTATATGTATAGTCGCATGTATACATGAACTCTGTTTCTGACTTTATAATGTTTCTATCCTCCTTTCCCCTTGACCAATTTTGTGTGAGTGGATGAGTGTGTGTGTGTGTGTGTGTGTGTGTACACCACCCTAAGTTGTTTGGGAACTAACGTGAGTAATGAAAGTTTTTAATTTATTTTTAATTGGCACATAATAATTATGTGTATTTATGGGGTACAATATGATAAGTTTATCATATATCATGTGTAGTGATCAAATCAAGATGAATAGCACTTTTATTTCCTTAAATATTTAGCATGCCTTTTTGTTTGGAACCTTCAAGTGCCTCTCTTCTAGTTTTTTATAGATACACAAATTGATAGTCACCCTGCTATGCTGTTGAACACTGAAACTTATTCTTCCTGTCTTAACTATATTTGAAACCTTTTATCTAATCTCTTTCTTTTCTCTTTTCCACCTATATTTCCCAGCCTCTAATGACCACTATTCTACTTACTATCTCTATGTGAACAGTTTTTAAAAAAACAGAATCCAGCCAGGTGTGGTGATGCACACCTATAAGCCCAGCATTCAGGAAGCTGATGCAAGAGGATCACTGCAAATTCAAGGCCAACCTGGGCTACATAGTGAGTTCAAGGTCAAGCTGAACACATGATGTACTGTCTCAAAACAACAAAACAAACATATATATAATATATAACAACAAAACATACATATATATGTTAATTTTTAAAAAAAAAATAATGAATCCAAATCTATATCCTACTCTGATCCCCCTTATAGAAGCCAGAGTAGAATTGGGTGACTTTTTGTTTTGTGCACTTTTATTTTCAGTGGGAGAGTTCTGACATGTAATAAAGTAGTAAGAGGAAGGAAAAGAACTGAAAAACATTTACTTTTGCATTAATGAACACGCTAGGTGACAATGAAAGTATATTTGATTACACGATGAGATTGGAAGTAATTTTATTCCTGAGTTTCTGTTCTTTTAATGTGGAATTTATGGTAATTTAAAAAATACTCTAATGCAATGCTCAGAACAAATCACCTTTGGTATGTATATAATAAACACCTTTAACCCATTGTATCTTTTGTTAGAAATTCCAGTTTATCTGTCAAGTGCCTCTGACATTCCTATTGTTACAGGCAGCTAAGCTCGTTAGAAATATTATAGGCAATCAGACAGGGCTGGGCCCTCCAAGAAGCCAGCACAGAGGACCAAATGTCTTGTGACCTTGGAGGAGACACACACCTCTTGCTGTGCACCAGATCTCAAGACAAAAAGCAAAACAAATGCAACCATACCCTAGGTATAAACAGTAGGGATTAGGTATGGATCATCTTGAGAAGCCAGCAGTCAGCATCCCAACCCTCTACAGGAAGAGTCACTGATGTGTAAAGAATGCTCACTTGCTACTTGACTCATTCCCTATATGTCCCTGATTTTGTCAATTTTACCTGAACAATTAAACTTATTGATTGACCATAACTCTGTCCCACCTCATGCTCATTTGCCTTGCAAGTTCCCAGTTTTCCCCATTTTAAACCCTCCTTATCTCATGGTTTAACTCTATAAAAATCTCTAGAAAATACAGAATCTTTGGCAACCCACTCTGAACCCCTTCTGTCTCCCTCTCTTAGACAGATGCTTTCTTTCTCTCAATAAATATTTCTGCCCTTAACCTCCACTGTTCCTAAAATTCATTCTTCAATTTTAGAGAACACGAACTCATAAAAGACGTATGGTAGGTTGAGAATTCCTTTCACCTATATCACTATTGAAATTATTAAGGAACGATAAATCCAGTAACATTCTATGAACAACTAAGAACCACCAGGCTTATTTAAAACAAACTGAAATTTTAAAGGTAAGCAACGAAGAGTCTACATATAAGAAGAGAAGGAAATAGGACTACACAAACCACAGAAAAATGCAGCTGGCATGGGTTCCCTTTTTGTGAAAAGGAAAGTAGGGGAAGATTCCACAACCGTCACGAGTGTTGTATAAGACATTAAATAAATGTAATAAAATTCAGTGGTTTAGTAATCACCATTACAGGTTACCTCATCCATGTTGATGATAAGCTGGGACCAACTATTCCACTCTGGACACTTGTCTCTGTCTTCAAATGTGACCTGCTGAGAGTTCCAGCAACAGTGTTCATGGTTGAACCAGAACCCCTCTGTGCATATACCTTCTTTTAAGTCAGTCATCCAGTGTGCAGAGATGTCTATCAGACCAGCTAAGGAACCTGGTTTAGGGAGAAGGGGAGGCCAGAGTTAAATTCTATTTATGAAACTATTCTTTGCAATAATCAGAGTAATCTTTATCAGCAAAAATGAGAGAAAAAGAATTTAATAAAAGGACAAACATATGTTTCCATTCCATCTGTCACTTCTCTCTGATTATCTATTTGCTTGATTTTTATCTGTTCTCTCTTCATTAAACCTTGCTATCTACAGAATTAATATACAGGAGACACTTAAGAGAAAAACAAAATCACTGGGTGGAGCTGAGTATGGTGACACAAGCCTGAGATCCCAGCACTTGGGAGGCTGTGGCAGGAGGATCACTGTGAGTGTTAAGTCCAGCCTAGGCTACACGCTAAGGACTAAACTATGTGGTGAACCCCTATCTCAAAAAAAAAAAAAAAACAAAAACAAAAAATGATAAACTGGTTGGAAATGAGGGGCTAGAAGTTTTGTTTTTAAACTGAATTTACACGGCAAAGACACTGCTTTGTCTTAAAGAGTTTATGAATACTAATCCACAGAGATAGTAAGGCTTATTTTAGATTAGTTTATTCTCCTTGTACATTCCAAGTTGAGAAAACATGAATTTCCCATACCTGGGAATTCTATGCTATTTATTTTAGATACCTCGGGAGGAGCGCTGATAAACATTAATGAGAGTATAAGCCTGGACAACAGGGGTTTGCTCCACGAACAAGGACCATTGTGTCACAGGAGGAAGGTATTCTAGGCCAAGGGGATTGTGGCTATAAAAGAACAAATGGATAGATAATAAGAAAGGGGATCTTTTTCAAATGGGAAGGGGATAAGAGATAGCATAGGAAAGGAAGGAAAAGGGACTCTAAAAAAAAGATAATCAAAGAAAAAATGGAAATAGTTCTTTTTCAAATAGGAGGGGAATCAAAAGTTGGAGGGAGCAGGGAGAGATGACAAAAGGGGACAAAAAGAATTAAGGTGTAGTATGTACAAATTCCCCATGATGAATATAATCATTGTTTTTTACAAACATGTACTAACAAATTATATAATAAAACTGAAAAGAAGTACAAACTAATGTGCATGGAAAGTTAGAAAAGCTTGACACATGTTGAAGCCTCTTGAACCTAGAACGTGAATGTTGTGATTGTTTCTCAGTGAGAAGGAACAAGTGGTATAACACATAGAACATTCATCAAAGAAAACTAAGAAGGAATAAACAGGGACATAGGCACTAGGCTGGTAGACTGGTAGGGATACGATAGTTTCATTATTTTAGATTCTAACCTTCTTGCCATTTCTGTCATTGTGGTGAAGAAATTTTGGCAAGGGGAAACTAAATGGCCCAGAATCATGATTTTGGAAATAGTAAAGACATCGTAAAACTCATAGACCCTGAATTCTCAGCCTGTTCCTGCATTCAGACCCACTGCTTCTATTGAGGGAAAGAAAAACATTCACTGACCACCTAGTGACAAGAAATACATTAAAATGTTGATGCTATACCTACATCCAAGCAGGAGATGGCTATGTTGTGTGCATGCTTTGGTAGGTGCTAAGTGTTAGCACAGGTTATTTACCTGTTGGAGTAATGTAGGCAAATCCAGCGCACTGCTTGACACCTTTCAAATGCTACAGACCCCTATCCTTCTCTTCTTTTAACTCTTACTGTACTTACTAGCTGGACGTAGACAATTAACATGCTGTTGTATAGTTTGCCTCAATCCCTGGTTGTCTCACGCATGTATATCTTATTTTATCTAATACTACTACCCTCACTCTTGTCTTCCCTTCTGCCTCTGCCTCCTCTCCTTCTCCTAATTGGCTCTTTCTTCTCTGGTGACAGAAATTTCTTTGCCCCAAAATATAAAATGCTGTCCTTTGTCCCTGTTACCATTTCAAATTTTGTCCCTCTTCCCTTTCCAATCATTACTAGAACTTCAACACTGGCTACCTTTCATTAATACCCATCTCTTAATATTTCTCTGAGATGATTTTTCAGGTCACCGTTACACTCCTAACTGGTAAATTGTATAACTTTTCTCCCCCATCTTTCTTTTCATCAGCTTCTCTGCAATACTTGGCATTAAAGACCACTCAGTCTGTTATTGGCCAGCTCCAAACTGATCACCTCCTCTGTCCTGAACGAGCCAGAAGGGACAAAGTTAAAACCCTAGGTTATGGTTTGGCAAACTACAACCCAAAGCCTAACCCCTGCCTACTCCTGTATTTGTATATAATGATGTCCTGGTGGCAGCCAGGCTCATTTGTTTACCTAGGGTCTATGGCGAATTTTGCACCCATCAGAAGAGTTATAGTAGGTGCTACAGAGACTTTTTGGCCCATAAATCCTAAAATATGTACTATCTAGCCCCTGTACAGAGAAAAATTTGCCAACCTTTTCCCTAAGGCACACATTCCACAGCTGTTATCACTGAAAGCTCTAAAAGGATTCGCCATCTCTGCCCTAGGCTATAGGTAAGCCACTCGGTATTTGCTGTAGTCATTTTCTACATCATGGCTCATAGACTACTATCCCTAACTCAGCAGCAGCATTAACAACTGGGCACTATGCTAAATGCTACATTGCATTTAATCCTCATAGAAAACTTTTAATATAGCTACTTTTATTATCTCCATTTGACAGATCAGTAAACCAAAGCTTCCAGAGGTTAAGAAATCTGACCAAAACCACAAAACTGCAATGGCAAGTAGCACAAGTGCCTAAAACTATAGTCTGTGCCATTATCTGTCATCTTATGCCATATCCTCCAACTTTCCCACCTAACTCCTGTTTCAGCTCAAGATTCCAGATCTTTCTCTCTCTTAAGGACCTACCCCTTGGCATCTCTTGCCTGGTATCCTTGGTTCTGTATATACATACAGGTATATATATATAGATAGATAGATAGATAGATAGGCAGATAGATAGATACACATATACATATACATCTATATATATGTATATACATATATCTGTATAGATATATATGAAAATATTCCAAAATTTTAAAAATCTGAAATCTGAAACACCTCTAATTCCAAGCATTTTGAATAAGAAATTATTTAGAATAGTAAAAAAGAAAAAGAAATAGGTGGTACTGTCCCAACCTCAGCCATCATGGGAGAAGGAATGATAAGTTTCTTGTGAGCACCGACATAATTGACATGCCTTTCTATACTATCAAATAAGAGAGTAGAAAAAGCCTGAAAAACAGCCACAAAATGTCTCAGGAAGTGCTCTTCTGCATCTTTTCTCCTAGACCCCATTTAGAATGTGCATTAAAAAAATCTTGATTGTCTCCAAAAGAAAGTTTCTTTCCAAAGACAAGCCCTGTAAGGCGTAGCTGACATCCCTTACAATGGATACAATACCTCAGTGCTAATATTTATTTAAGGAAGGTGATTTGCAGGTGTTACTACTCCTTTACAGGTTAGAAATTCAGCATTCAAGAGGCTCACCAGCAATTCATTTCAGGTGGGAAAAGATTGGTCCACCTAGTTCATAACTTAAGAGAGACGTATGGCACAATTTCTGGAGATTTGTTGTGAAAGCTAATATAGTTTACTATACCTGATAAAAGTCCAATAAGGAGCATCAACAACCAGCCAGAAAAAGCATCACTCACACTGTGAATTAAGGCCCACGTAGATTCTTTGCTTCTATTGGTAATCTAGGGGAAAATGAAAAAAAAAATCAGTACACTCTCCATATATTTTTCTTTTATCTCAACATTATTCAGTAAACAAATACAATGACAAATCACCTGGGAACAGAGACCAGCTGAAAGTTACTCCTTACACAATCTTTAGCTCAACCAAATTCAGCAGTTTTGACTCTTACTAAAGTCTACCTTCATGTACAGCAGACATGCGCAATGCACACCTGGTCTACCTGGGTCACACTGAATGCAAAGATTGTCTTGGGACACATTTAGAATATATAATGTAATATATATTACAAATACATATATTATAAATATGTAATATAATATACATAAATAACAAAACTTCTTTTTTACATCTGTTATTATAATATTTTTTAAAAGGGACAAGTAGCCTGAAAGCTGTAGGTTGGACATGCCTTATCCACAGTTTGTAAAGTTCCTAAGGACCTTATTTGGGATTTCCTTATTTAGTTGTTAATTTCTTGCAGCTGTCAACCTTTCTTGTTCATTGTAGGGGTCTCTCTCTTCCGTCCAAAAGATAGTCACTTGAATCCCAGAAAATATTCTGATTGTCTTACAAAGAATAAGCAAACACAGGCTTATCTGCATAATGAAAGGACAATTTAAAATTAACTTCCTAGGGTGGTGGTTCAAGTCAAACAAATTCCAAAACTTGATCCCACTAAATACCTACATGAGTCACAGATACTAAGTTGTATCACCAATACTTTTTTTTCATTTTCATAAATCTTCAAGGTAGTAGATACCTTGAGCCAGAGATACAGGACCTTTTACCTTTAGATCTGACCCTTATTAATTTAACCATTCAAGTGTCCACATTTTTACCACCAACATTCTTACAGTTGCATAGCTGTGCCCTTCTCTGTACCACTATTTACTCTCGAAACAGGTGTAGCTACCCCATCTTTTTCTGCAACAACATAAATGCATAGTAAATTATGAAAAATTCAAAAAGAGTTTTAAAACACATTCTGAACTATGACTATAAGTTTCCAATTTCAATGTTTGAAAACATATGAGACTACATTTCTCCCTGTGACATTATTTCTTTTCAGTTAATGAAGAGTTGATATTAAAAAGTCTCTGTGGACCAAATTATAAATATACTTTAATTGGTTTTGGATTATTAACTGGCATCATATATCTCAAATGCAACCATTAATGAGAAATGTACCTTGTCATACACAGATGACTCTCTTAATTTGAATAACATGTTGAATATATAATGGATGACAAACTCCAAAAGCAGAAATTCTAAAGCCAGAAAAGTCTCAGTTCTAAAGCCTGCATCTGATAGAATATAAGTATATTACAAAAATCTTAAAAAAAACATAAAAGAAATTAGAGAACATCCTTTTGTGTAGTTATAAGTCAACTCAATGCAATGACTACAGTTCCAAAGATTAAGTAGGAATTTCTCAAAAACTAAACCCAGGACAAGCTGACTCTCAGGTTCAGGTGCTTTTGAGAAAACTGGTCAGGAGCTAGGAAAGACTGAAGAATGAAAAATCAAGGGCTGGGGGTGTAGTTCAGTATTAGAACACTTATTTAGCATGTGTGAGGCCCTGGGTTCTATCCCCAAACATCAAATTAAGAAAAAAGAAAAAGAGCAAGAAAAGTGAACTTCAAACTAGGTTTGAAAGTCCCATTCAACCCAGATAGTCCTCTCCTGATATTTTCCAGAATTGAAAGCATCATACCACAGTGATATATGTGCACCCGTGTTTATTGCAACAAAAATGTGTAGTGGCCAAATCTTGGAAACCACCCAAATGCCCATCAACTGAGGAGTGGATAAAAAAAAATGTGGCATTTTTATACAATGGAGTACTAGTCAACTATAAAGAAGGACAAACTTAAAACTCTTATAGGTAAATGGATACAACTTGAGACCATACTCATAATTGAAATAAATCATACTCACAAGTGTGAATACTGTATTGTCTCCTTAGTGTAAAAAACTGAAAGAGTAAATAAGACCCAAAATGTACAATAGATTTTGTGAAAGTGAAAGGAGAAGAAATTACTCAAAAGGTAAGAACAACTGGGAGTGGAGAAAGGAGAAAAGAAAGAAGGGGAAAGATTATATATATATATATATATATATATATATATATATATACACACACACACATACATACATACAAGATAGATAATCACACTACTGATCTGTTAGTTCATCAAAAAAGTTTGTGCTTTCATTGTCCAATCACTTTATTCAATCACTTTTCATGCCTTTTTCTTATAATCTAAGTAACTATTTTGAAGATAACAATACACAATAATAACCACTGTTAATATACTGTGTTGATTTGAAATTTTTTAGCATTGTTTTTAGTCTTTTTTGTTTTGTTTTAAAATGTTTTAAAAAAAATAATTTCACCTAAATGCTCAGGAAGTTTGCTTGGCTTTAAGAGGAGGAAATCATGAAGAAAGGAGACAATGGATTCAGCTTAACAATCAAATTTTAAATTCGGAGTGCAAGCAGCAATAGTAAGGAAAAAAAATATTACCACTGCTGTGGCCTGAAAAAAAGACTTGCTAGAGCATTACCTACTGAGAATCTCTAGGCTGGCTGGAGCTGGGCACGTCTTCTTAATAAGCTCTGCATCGTGGCCCTTAAACAAACTAGAAATTGTGATTTCCTAATTGAAATAGTACAAGGCAACAAGTTCAAAATAACCTTGGAAGACCACTCTGAGAAGTTTTCAAGGCACTTTGAAAAGAGACAAGTGGGGAAAGTCTCTTACCAAATTCAAAAGAACTTGCACCAAAGCATAGGTACCATCTATTACCATGTAGGTATCTTCTATTACCTACCACATTAATGTCCTTAATCTGAATTTAATTGGTGTTTCAGTTTAACTAGAGTTGAATACATAAATTAATTGGACTTTATGGTTGCACAAGAGACAGAATGGAGTACCATTCACAGTTTGCAGGGGAAGAAAACAAGAAGTCACCAAGAAGCAAGCCAGGACCATAAGAATCTTTTTCAACCACATACTATGGGAAGATAAATAATCACAATCACAATACACAGTTATCTTTTGTCTTACCTCCCGGTGCCTATCCCGGTCTCGAGACTTCTCTCTCACCCAGTCAATTGTGTTGAAATCATCATAGGTCCCTACACCAGGAATCGGTTCCTCCAAAAAATCCATGATCCTATTTGAAGAAGCTATTCCTCCACTATTATAGAACTTGTTCCCTGTATTAAACAGGAAATAGACATGAGTACTTCTGACAGTCAGCATTTTTTTCCCGTTACCAGGGATTGAACTCGGGACCTTGTGCTTGCCAGGCAGGCACTGTGCTACTAAACTATATCTCCAGGCCACATGCAACATTTTTAATACAAACTTTCTAAACTCTAACAGGTAAGCCCATAAACTATCAGATGACTACAGTTAGGGTGTACTAATAAAATATATAATCACCCGGTGGGGACATCCATCACATTCAGAGATTTCTGTGGTCTAACCTCAAACGACTAGCCAATGAGTAGCTAAAGGCAGTGAGAATGAAAAGACACAGATAGGAGTAATATTACAGAGAGAAATGAAGCAAGCTGATGTGCAAAAGGAAACAGTTTATGGAACAGGCAACCAAAGAAGCTTGGAGTAACTCACATTAATGGTTTAAGGAACAGGAACAAAAGAGTCAAGGTTATTGCAGGCATATCACATCTGAAATCATTTTACATTAATAAGACAGCAATTCAATCCTAGAAGGCAGCATTTGCCCAAGTAGGAACTCCAAAGGAAGCATCTTGGTCTCTTCCAGTGTTAAGCTGGCTGGAATGTAATAATTTCTCTTAAATAGGTAGAACACTTTGATTCCTAATATAATGGGCTTGTAGAAATTTTCCATGTATGTCAAACAGTCTGCAATTTATATGTAGATTAGGAGAACAGTATATGACTCAATGATGATATATCCTTCTCTAATCCTTCTACTAGAAAAAGCATCCATTTGCCCACCTACCATGGTCCTTTATCTGCTTGACTTTTAGCACTCCCTTTATAATTACTTACGCATATGCTTTATCTTTCTTTCTAGACTACAAGCTCTATGTTGGTAGTTTTATTTCTGATTCATCACTGTCTCCTCCACAGTGTCTTAATACATACCCAACACTCAGTAATACCAGCTGAACCAAAATGTGTTTGATGAACAGCAGGGATGAGATAAGTATTTAAACCAAGCAGTTGTACTCATATGCGGTTAGTATTGCTTAACAAACTCATTCAAAATATTTGGGCAGTACCATCCAATAGGACAATACTGCTATTAAACATAAATGTAAAACAATATTGAGGAATTTATGCAAAAAACAGGGGGTACAAAGTAATGCCATCATGTAATTCACCCAGTCAAAGCTCACACTTGCAGCACCAGCTTCAGCAGGGACAAAGCCTCGACCAGATAATGAAATCCTCTGCAAAAAAGGCCCCAAGTGGGTCTCAGTCAACTTCCTCTCCTCCATTTGTATGCCCGCCTCTACTAGAAACTGCTACCATCCAGGCATGGTGGTACATGCCTGTAATCACAGCACTTGGGAGCCTGAGGCAGGAGGATTACTACGAGTTCGAGGCCATCCTGGGCTATACAGTGAGTCCAGGCCAGTCTGAAGTACATAGCGAAACTAACTCTGTCTCAAAAAGACCAAAAAAAAAAAAAAAAAAAAAGAAAGAAAGAAAAAGAGAAAAAGAGAGAGAAAAAGAAAAAGTAAAGAAACTCCTACCAGATACCTTCAGCACTCCCACGGGGTAAGTTTAATGAATACACCAAGCCATAAGTGGTTTGCCAATTGTAAATCTTCCAAATACCTAATTTAGCATACTTTTAGAAGCAACATACACATTTGACAGGAAAAGCTCAACAGAGTCCAAATTATCTGGAAAGTGGGGGTGGGCCAGGTAGATGGCAAGCAAGAGGTGAGCAAGTTAATCTTAAAACCCCAAAACAAAGTCCTTTCCATATCTTCACCTGTACCTGGCTATAAAATGAATGGCTGCTGAATCACAACCTAGCATTGTCTATCATGTCAGTGTCACACTGATAAAGATGAAAGCTGGTATTTGGAGAGCATGGAGGAGGAAATCCAGTTAAGATAGAAGTACAAAAAGAGAAAGAGAGTAAATTATGGGGGTGGGAGAACCAAGTTGTTTGAGTTCTCAAATCCAGTGCTGAGATGAACAGAGGACACCAAACAACCAGAAACTGAGTTTTTTTTTAAAGGCAGGTTAATGCTTCCTTTGAATTTACTCTGGTTTAAAAGTTCTTTTATCAGGAAGAAAAAACATTGTGAAGCTCATTTTTAAAAGCCTTTAATAGCTACCTAATGTTACATTAAATACCAAATGAGGCCCCCAGATTTAAAAATCTTAAGGCAAAATGAGGACCTGCAACAGCATCCTGGCAGGAAAGAAAGAATCCTATTACATCACTAGGTAACATGAGCACCGCATCATCCATCCTCCTTTGTCATCCGTCTCCTGTTAGAGACGCAATTGTTAGGCCCTAGAAAGGGCGGGCAGTGATTAGAATCCTACTACAGATTGCTTGGGATTCTGCAGATCTCTTACTCCCAGGGGCACGTTTCAATCCTAGGTCAGGCTCAAGCCCGCTTACCTTCAATCACAGTTTTCTTTTTTCCTGTCTCAAAGAAGAAATAACCTTCACAGCCCACATTTGGTCATTTAGGTTGAAGGCGCTTTAACAGAAGGAGCTCCGCTCTGGGGCACTTTAGGAGGGCACTTGCTGCGTTGTCTGCCTTTCACAGCAACAAACGCCACCTAAAGAGTCACCAGTGCTCCCGGCGGTCAGAGTGTGATGTCACTATTGTGATCACGTGACCAAACCCTTGGACCAGCCTTGCAAAAAGGAAGATTTTTAACCAAGCACAGACGCCTTAAAGATGTAGTCTCATCTAAATAAAAGCCACCAAATTAAAGTCACTTTAGAAAACTGGGCTCCAGACAAGTTTCACTCTTCAGACCTCATTTAGCAGAAAGTCTGAGAAGGCAATGTAGAAATGCCTAAAAGCATTTTGAGTTACAGGCGTTCAAAATTTTAAAAAAAGGAAAAAGGTAGGGAGGATACTACAGAAAAGGCTTTTTAAAGTGCACTGTATAGTAGTAGCATGGATAAAAAGATCACAAACAATGCTGAATAAAAGACTGCAGGCACAAAGAGCACGTAACATTACAAATCTATTCCTATAACTTCAAAAATAGGCACACACTTAAATTATACCATTTTCATATACAAATGCTTGCATTATAAAGAGAAGGAAGAAAATGACAAATGCTACCTAGAGGAAGTTCACTAGGAGAAGAGCATGGCAGAGGGGGAGTTTTCAGAATGCTGATCATTTGTCATGATCTGACCAGTGGTCACCTGTGTGACCATTTAAAAAAAGTTTTTTTTTAGTACCAGGAGTCAAACTCATGACTTCATGCTTACCAGGCAAGCACTTGAACCGCTGAGCTATATCCCCAGCTTAAAATTATTCTTTAAAGTATATACATCATATGTGTCTCACTTTCTATGTATAAACTATAACTAAAGGAAAATGTGAGGTCAAATGCCTGTATATTTTAGCTAAACGGGAGGCTAGGGCAAGAGATCACAAGCCCAGGAATTCAAGGCCAGCCTGAGAACTAGTTAGATCCCACCTTTTTTTTTTTTTAAAAAAAAGGGTTATGTTGAGGCTCAGGATACAGCTTAGTGGCACAGCACATGCTTAGTAATGCAAGGCCCTGGGTTCAATTCCCAGTAACACATTTTTTTCTCTTTTTCTTTTCTATAGGTACCAGGGAACGAACTCACGACCACACACTTGCAAGGCAGGCGCTTATGCCACTGAGCTAAATCCCCATCCCCAGTAACACATTTTTAAAAAGAAAAATGTGAAAAACTGAATTGTATTTGAACTTACCATACAAGATCAGCACTTTAATTGCTCCTACTCACTTTGAAATTTCAGAATACAATCAAGACAATGAATTGTTTCTTAGTAGTAGTGTTCTTCTCCAAAAGCTAAATCAACTCTGTTCATCCAAACTGGGTATAAGTAGCTACTGCAGCCCTGATAATACATTCACTATATTTCCATTATTTGAAAGGCTTACCCTTTCCTGGCCCTATTATGAAGACTATTTTTAGACAGGTCTTAATTAATTGTGCAATAACATCATTCCAGTAAGAAAAGAATAAAATTGCCATCTCCCAGTTTCCTAACTGAGTCAGCAGAATAGCCACTGGTAAACATTAACTCAGTCCTGTGCACTCCAATAATCAAACCATACACATAGGGCTTCGAAATATTATTACTTTCATTGGTTTTTTTTTTTGGCTTTTTGAGAAAGGGTTTCACTATGTTGTTTAGACTGGCCTTGAACTCACTTTGTTAGCCCAGGCTCCTAACTTGCAGCAATCATCCTGCCTCAACTTCCAAGTGCTAGGATTATAGGTGTGCACCACCATGCCCAGCTCTCATCAGTCTAAAGCTCAATAATTCTAAAACCTTAATTCCACAAATCCTTATGAAATGTGAGGCATTACATGAAACCTGTACATTTTCAGTCCATGGTTAATTATTATATCTCACTCTCTTGATAAACTAATATGGCATTAATGAAAATTTAAATTGGTAAATTGATATTAAGTAGAAACAAGTGACAATACTCTAAAAAGCAATACATACAGTGATACATTGAGTGTGACAATCTCATACATTTAAGCTTTTAGAAAATTATGCATATCACATTAAAAGAGGGTTACACACCCAACCCCACAAGGCTCTTTTCGTTGCTACCTTTTATTAAATCATTTTTTTTAGGTAGGGTCTTACTATGTAGTTCAGGCTGGTCTTGAACTCACAATGTAGACCTGACTGGCTTTGAACTTGGATGCTGCAATTATAGGATGGCGCTACCATGCCCAGCTATTAAGCAGTAAGCAGTATTTTATGTGTACTATCTGAACCCCACTATGGAATTCACTTACAGTGTCCTTTTTTTTTTTTTTGCAGTATAGGAGAGGCACTTGACACACTCTAGGCAAATGCTCTAACACTGATCTACACCCCCAATTCTTTCTTACATTATCTAATAAGCTTCATCTTGTCAGGATTATTTCACATTCCACCAAGCTATATTTAGAAAATATATTACTTTTTTATTCTTAAAAGCATATATAGTT